AATGAAGAAGCGTGTTTCATTGTGCTGTATGTATTGATTCCCTCTCCACGTCTCCCACCTCTAAATTACCTTGTATGTTTGAGACCTGGTTTCTGTATGTTCCCGCACAGCTTTGGGGGGACGTATGTGTGGTGACAGAAACATCACTGTAAGTACAAGGCAGGTTTGACTGAATAAATTTTACTAATTTGGGGGCTAATAGGGATTGAGGGAGATGCTTGTTTTTTTAATGAGAACACCCATTGGAGAATATGTGCTTTTGGACATTGTGTTTTGAAGCCAGTTAACAATGATAACACATTAAAGTTTATTCAGCACGTAATCGTTACCTGTGATATTGCAGGAAGGGGCAGTAGTTGTGATTTCCCTAATGACTATTACAGACAGGTGATAAAGGACAGATGGACCCTGTATATACAGTTACAGAGTCAGTCACGTGCTCTGAGAGTTGCATTAATGCGTGTGTCAGCATTAAAGGTGTGGTGAGTTATGTGCATTAAAACCACAGGGGAGGGTCCTCAACCAAAAGTATGTTCTAGCCCAAGTCATGTTGTCTGGCAAATTATTTGCGTCCATAAATGCTGGCATCTAGGAGGACTTGGAGATTGAGGGACTTGTAGCGAATGGAGCCAGACGCTAAAAATGACATCTCTAGAGCTTCATCCCAGAGCAGAATGAAGCTGCACGTGTACTGCACTCGGCTCATCCGGTTGGGTGGGGGGTTGGATCTGCCTCATAACCTCTTAAATTCATAGAATTTTGTAGCCGGAAGGAGCCTTAGAAATCAGAAGCCAGCGTGTAGTAGAAGACTTGCCATCCAGCAGGACCCGGGAGCACGCGCCAATGGGAATGTGAGCACGGATCCTGGCCCTGCAGTCAGAGCTGCTCACGCAGAACCTTCAGAAGGGGGTAGGACGTGTATTTTTAAACAAGCATTCAGGGTGAGTTTCGTGATCAAGAACGTATGGGGAATTTGATGTAATCCAGAGTCATTTCATCTGTGTGATACTTAGAATTGAGAGAGGTTAAGTGACTTGCCTGAAGTAGCACTGTTTCTCAGTCGCAAAACTAGAATTCGAATCTGCACGAGCTAGAATGTGACTGAGTCCCGGCGCTGCAGCGTGCGGCGCGTTTGGGCGCTGAAATATCTGGACTGACGCTTGCTGAGTGGCAGGCTGGTTACGAATAAACTCCTGGTTGTGAACCAGCCTTCCCGCCATGTTTGCGTGTGTAGGATTTAAGAGTTACTTATAAAACTCTATTAAAGTAAGTGTGCATGTATGTGTATATAGTATGTGTGATTTGAAATAACGAGGTAGAGTTTCATATTTGACATATAAAATAATGTTTATTATTTAGTTAGATCGTGGTTTTTTTTGGTTTTTTTTTATTGATTCATAATCATTTTACAGTGTTGTGTTAGTTAGATCTTGTTTTGAAACAGTCACCATACAAACAAAAGTTTTATTATGAAGTGCTTTCTTTTAATGAGGACCAAAAATATTCTGTGTGCTTAATGGAAATTCAAGTGGACTGACAGGTCATTTGGCACGTAAGGCATAAAATGTTCTCTCAACGCGCTGTCAGTATTGTTACAATGGATGTTTCTGAATAGTCAGAAACCGTAAGCTCGGAGGTCAGCGTACATCCCTGCCGCCGGCCCTTGCACTGCTGTGTTATCGTGGAAGGCCAGCGCTTGATGGAAGTGCTTGCTGACCCTCAGGAAGGATACCCCTGTGCGTAAAGAAGTGTTGCTTTATTCCGCCACGCTTGTGGCCTGTGTGTTCAGCTGACCACGAATATCTCCGCTTGAATGATGTTGAGCTTAGAATCTAGTGAGGACGACTGAGGAACAAAGCTAATTGGCTGGGACACGTGCTCTGAGTGTCAGTTTGAGCAGCAGGAACACACTGGTGGGCGCGATGATTCCGCCAGGGAGGGCCAGGGACCGCGTTACGGGTGGCTGACGGGGTTTCAGTGGGCGGGACGCGGGCTGGGGGAGCTGACTGACCTGGCCGTTTCGTGCGCGGGGGACGGCGTTGGCGGCGCTGAGACGTCAGTTTGAGAAGAGGCTGAAGGGCAGCTCGGGGCCAGCAGCTCCCGAGAGGCTGCTGTGAGGGTGGCGGGACCACAGAATGAGTTTTCGGGCTGTTTTTCTGTGGTTGGTGGTGGTGGTGGTGGTGACTTGTTGATTTTTTTTCTGCCTGCATGAAACAAAACATTGCAAACATTGCAGAACGCTGAACCGCCGTGTGAACAGCGCTGCCGTCAGCGTGGTGTAAATCGGAGCCCTTGTCAGTTCTCAGCGCGCCCTGCCCTGTCGTCCGCCCGCCCGCCCGCCGCGTCCACCTGTCTCGCGTCGTGTGGTTCCGATGACAGCCCTCAGAGGGACGCGTGCCGTCCCTGTCCTCCCAGCGAGGAGGCCGAGGCGTCGAGGGCGCACAGACCGCGCAGCGGAGTGCAGACCAGCTCTGCCTCAGCTGCACCTCCCGCATCCTTAGCTGCCTCCCCGCCTCTGCCAGGGTGGCTGGGGGTGGCAGGTGCTGGGAGCGGGTGGAGGGGAGGAGGGGGCTGGGTGCCCCCGGAGTCAGAGTCGGTGTGGCCTTTGCTCAGGCCTCCTTTCAGGGTGATTGGCCCGTGCTGTGCCCGCCTCGAAGTGTCACGTC